ATGGAACACAGCCCTTGCTGTTAGTGTGATGTCATCATACTGTGACAAAAGCCAACGCCAACTCTGCTGAAGATGGCATTTAAAATTTAAACTCAAATTGTGTTCATTGACAACAATTTGGATGGTACCTGTCGTCCGGAAGCTCAGACAATCGCTGTAACTGCAAGTTTGAGGTCTTGTAGGGAAGTGTCAGCAGCATTAGCACAGTTAGCAGCATTAGCGGTTTCTGTTGTCGCAGGATGATGACATCATAAGAGCAGAACACCGACAGCAAAAGCCGTGTTCCATTCCAAGGTACTTAAATGTAAATTTCAGCATTTATAATTTAACTTTTTACATTTAGATTTCAAATTTAACATTTAGAAATAACATTTAAATTTAATATTTAGTAAAATATTAGCAACAAAGAAGAGCAGTGAGCTAAATAAGAATTAAATGTTAGTGAATTTTTTAAACTAGGATTTTACACTCAGAAAATGAGCTAAAAGATGAAAATGTGTTAGTGACATTTATAACATTTTATTTTACCCTTGGTGTCTCATAATCAGCAGAGGTGGTGAGATGATCTAATCAGTTAATTAYATGTAAAAAAGTTAAACAGATCTAACTGAGAACAATGACTGGTTTCCCACTATGTCTTTGTTTTGCAGTGAGGCGCTCCTGGCTTTCATTTCCTTTTGCCTATTCGTGCCATCAGTTCTGCGTTSGCTGCCGCTTTGGTCCTCATGTCCTGGTTCTTGGCAAGGTCTATGAGGACGCTGAGGATGCTGGTGGGGACGTCGAGGGACAGGGCAAATCGAGACCCCTGCTGGGCCCGTTTGGGCACTTGGGAAGCCGGGCGCGGGGGTCGTGCCCGCCTGAGCACCAGGTGGTGCTCCGAGCGGAGGAGCGAGTTCAACACGCCGCTGCGGTTCAACGTGTCGAAAGCCAGCACGTCCCTCTGCGTGTCCTCGTCCAGCCGGGTGAGGGCCGGGCGGCTCCTCTGGCTCTGAACACGCCAAGGCAGCAGCAGAGCCAGGCAGAAACACACAAACACACTTCTCATGGTCAGCACTGTCTGCAAAAGATGAAATCAGTCCCACGTTAGACACCTAATTGGGGATTGTTTATAAGAAATATTCTATTTTGCTTAATTTCTGATTTGAGTTCTTCYAAATCTTGATTTTCTTTTTAAGGTAACACATCATGCAGAGCATCAGTTCTGTCTGTGATGCAGAGAAACTTTGTGAGGGTCAGTAAAAATAATACTCACCACAGTGAAAAGTTGGTTTCTTGACCAAAGAAAGGCAGTTGTTCCTCTCAGATCACCTGTGTGCAACTGGACTGATTTCTCTGTGTTTGAGCTCCTGGAGGAAGGACCTGCCCAGTTGGACTGAAGTTGGCGGCTCGTCCTCGGTTCCTTCAGTCCTCTCTGAGATGCTGCTCCTTCCCCTCCGATTATCTCTTACATACCCCATCGCCCTCCCCTCATTTCATTTCACTTCCTGTGCACTCATCCTCTCTCTAAAAATAACATGATGCTAATCACAATAGCTTTGCCTTTAATGAATTAGAAAGTCGCCTCAGTTTGGAGTCAAAGCCATGACCGCATCTGAAGTTCAGCATCAGCGAGCTGCAAGAAGAAAAGCTGTTCTGGTACAAACTGGAACATGYRTCTAAAAACAAATACAGGTTTCACGCTTTTACAGCTTGCTGTTAAGTAATTGTTTATTTATTTATTTTTGGTCTTCAGTGTACTTCTGTATGATATGATTGGATTTTCTCACAAATTTGAGCAATTTAAAATATATATTCAGATCTGAGATGAATGAAAGTCACACAAAGATAACTGCAGCCTGTAAATCTCTTGACAAAGATTTTGCTTCTGTCTGGTCCCCTGTAAGGAAACCTCACCCCTATTATGTCGCAGAACACCCCAAATAC